ATAGCCTGTAATAATCGTGATAATGAAAACAATAACGATCATAGCGAAAATAATAATAATTATTATTATTATTGTTATAATATGAGAATTTCTATAGTTAGTGATTGCGTTTGCGTGTAATCATTTCAAGAAGAAACTCTGTTAACAACTCTGTACTCCGTTAACAATTAATTTGATTTATTCGTAATACAGACAAAAATAACGTTGTATTTTTGTAAAGAAGAAGAAGAAAAAAAAGCAAAATAAAAATAGAAAAAAAAATGCAATTTATATAGCAAATCATTCATTCATTCATTCATCGAATTATTTATGAGTAGTTGCTGTATGATTGTTCGTCTTTTATCTCTTCATAGTGCATTTACTTTGCCGAACCATTTTTGCTAATTTTTTTCGCATTGAACGGTAGAAGATTCTTCTTGGGAAGAATTGAAGCAAAAATAATCAAAAATGAAAAATAATCTGACATTGAGCATTAAAAATAAGAAGAAATGTGTTCTGCTAATTAGCGATGAATGAGGNTGGTGTTCGAGTAAATGAAGGAAGGTGTTTATCGCCTAGAAGTTATGGTGATGCATTATTTGAGCTGTTGCTTGGAAGTGCAACAATGAACCGATAGTGATAAGATTAATAATGGTGATATGATTGGTAACGCTTGTATGAAAGATATCACAGTGTCAGCGAATTCTGTCGTCGTTGTTGTTGCGTTGTGTGCTCTTAAGCAATTTCGGGCCCTTGATCTTTTGGCAGTTGAATGTTCGTGTCGTAGTGTCTAGGGGTAGTGTCGATGTGTGGTTTTGATGTGTTAATGATGTGCGTTGATGGTGCATTTTCACCACGCCATGCACGAACCTTTTGAATGGTCTCAATCGCGAACAATATGGTGAGGGCAACGCATAAAATCTGAAATTTTAGATTTGATTACATTTTTATTGCACTTTTATGCCATTTTGTTCACCAATTCGTTTTCACATCAATTTATTGTTATCGTCTTCCGTTGATTTTCATTTGTGAGAAAATGATGTTGTTTTTTTTTGGTTTATTGACATGTGATCCATTTATCAGCAGAAGTTTTCTAAATTTGCGGAAGAGAATCTGTAATCAAATGTTTATGGAAAAGTGGATTATCTCTTTGTTAATCCACTGGTAATCCGCATTTTTTATTAGATTAACGTTAGGAGCAGAAATCCGGCTAATTTGTAAAAGATGTGGAAGAAAACCGAACTGCATCAAGAATCGCTGATCCTCGGCCGTAAGTAGACCAACTGGCCGATAAGTGTACCATAAGCCAGATGGCGATGAAGTAGAATAGTGCATTTATTCCATAGAATATTAATTCCTTAAATTTGATTTGTAATCAGTGGAAAATTGAGAAGACCTCAGGAGATGTTTTATCTTGCTCGATGTTTTGGGAAATTCAATAAAATCAGCCCATGGCAATTGTCGTTTTGACACATATATAGGAATTATTACAACTTCACTATGAATAGTAGTAATAGTAATGAAAGTGTTGAAAATATGGGGAATATTAGCAAATAACTGACCACAACA